GATCATATACAGCAGAGGTGTCTCTTCTCGTCTTTTCTGTCCTACATATAACATTATTTTTGACTCCATCAAATGGGACATTTTGAGCCCCACTTTCCTGTCTCTGAACCACTTATGTAATAGGTTGACAAATCCTGGATGGACTTAAAATAACATTTAGGTTTAATTAGGTATAATATAGATACATTAACCTAGTTTTTTTGTATATAAGACCCAGAAATTTTGTTTTTTTTCTAATTCTAATTTTAGATATAAGTCTAATTTTGTATATAAGACTTCAGAAAATCTGCAGAAAATATCCCCTGAACAAAGACGTCCTTTGGGTTCCCTTGATACAAATTGTTTCCCATCGGTAACAAATAAATTAAACTTGCTGTCATCATTGAAGTGGACTATTCCTCTGTCCACACATAATTGCTCATCAGCAAAGGTTAAACTGTTCTTGTGATTCTCTGATGAGAGTTTTGTTCATTGCTGGGCTTTCACTCCAAATTCTGCAAAGCCCAGAACATACAGACTGTGTTGTCCCCTCAGATCAGCTGCTTCTGGTCCCATTTGAGCCAAAAAGCTGCACATGAACACACCAGACAGCTGACTGAAACTTCAGTGTGCATTCTGCGCCTGAGTGAGACAAAAAAAAATATTTAAGAATGTAAGTTTTCACTCCATTTACCATAATGGTTTAATTATTTGCATTACTATAACACTTTCTTAATTGTTCTTCATGCACTCCTGAAAAAGCTGACCTGGACAGACTGCTGTGCACACATTTAGTTTAATATAGTTTGTGAAACCTTTAAAACATTTTTACTTTTTTAAGAAAGGTTTTGTTGAAAAAAATGGTTATGTACAATATATAACTAGAGCTTGCACAATATTTAAAATAGTTTACTCATAATTAACTAAACAATTTTTTGTATTATTCATTCAATAATTTTCTTGTCGGCTTAGTCCCTTTATTAATCCGGGGTCACCACAGCGGAATGAACCACCAACTTATCCAGCAAGTTTTTACGCCACGGATGCCCTTTCAGCAACAACCCATCTCTGGGAAACATCCACACACACTCATACACTACAGACAATTTAGCCTACCCAATTCACCTGTACCGCATGTCTTTGGACTGTGGGGGAAAGCGGAGCACAGGCGAAACTCCACACAGAAATGCCAACTGAGCCGAGGTTCGAATCAGCAACCCAGCAACCTTCTTGCTGTGAGGCGACAGCACTACCTACTGCGCCACTGCCTCACCCTATTTTTTGTATTATTAAATTATTATTAATGTTTCATTAAATTTAATAAAATATATATAAAAAAGTTTGACAGGGCAAATAAAAATCTTTTCCATTAAAAAAGCTATTTAGCATTTAGCCCTGTATGAGGCAAAAATTTCATTAGTAATGGTCTTAAAAATGTCATAAAATGCTTCAATTTATCTTGCTAAAGCCTGCAGAAACACTGCAGTGATTAAGCTGAATGATTGAATGATTTTTTCACATTACTCTTTCAAAAGTCTGCCATTTGTGCATAAACAGCCTTTTGTGGGGAATAAATGAGTCAATGATAATGTAAAGTAATATTCTTAGAAATTACATACAGTTGAAGTCAGAATTATTAGTCCTTTGAATTTTTTTCTCTTTTAAATATTTCTAAAATGATGGGTAACAGAGCAAGGGTATTTTCACAGCATGTCTGATAATATTTTTTCTTCTGAAGAAAGTATTATTTGTTTTATTTCAAGTAGAATAAAAGCAGTTTTTAATTTTTTAAACACCCTTTTAAGGACAAAATTATTAGCCCCTTTAAGCTATTTTTTCCAATAGTCTACAGAGCAAACCATCGTTATATAATAACTAATTACCCTAACCTGCCTAGTTAACCTAATTAACCTAGTTAAGCCTTTAAATGTCACTTTAAGCTGTATATAAGTGTCTAAAAATATCTAGTCAAATATTATTTACTGTCATCATGGCAAAGATAAAATAAATCAGTTATTAGAAATGAGTTATTAAAACTATTATGTTTAGAAATGACAAATCTCCCTGTTAAACAGAAATGGGGGGGGGGGGGGAATAAACAGGGGGAGCTAATAATTAAAGGGGCTAATAATTCTGACTTCAACTGTTGTTGAAGTGATGTCTTGCTGTGGCTGAAAGGTTCTTGACCTTCATCTGGACAACGTGTTGTCAGATGGTTTCAGTAACTTTTTAAAGGTCATCTTGCAGAGTCAGTGAAAAATGGACAGTTATGCAGCCTTAAATAGGGTTTGTAGCTAAAAAAGCAACCTACCAGCAGATGCAGATCAACACCAATGTTCTCTCATTTTGATCAGTGGTGTTTTTTTTACATATTCACATTAAGATTTTATGCTGTGCTTCAGAATATCATCATATACTGTTTTTATACTGTTTTTAACATCATAAAAAACAGTTTTTAACTTCACATAACTGTCCTGTGACCTCGAAAATTTGAAGATTGTTAGTTGTTCTCAAATTTTTATCTTAGCAATATATATCTCTTTTTTCTGAGAATTTAGTGTGGTAATGAATATGCGCATATGGCAAAGTTGACATGTTTGGTCTGGAATTATTATGGCAAAGCAAGTACTGAGACTTGTATATAACACACACTGCTCAAAACTTATATGTAACCTCCGTAGCAGATATAAATACAGGTGGAGCTGGGGTGGGGGAGGGTCTCTGAAAACATGTTGCGACATTACAGTGTGTAACAACATTAAGCATTTAAAGAGCCCCTAACTATTATGCATTAAAAAGGTCCTATTTTGATTTTTGGGGTCTCCAACAAAAAGCTGATATGCATGCAAGGTCAAAAAACACTTTCATTGTCTTATCATATATATTTATTTTTACCTATTTATCCCAACGACTCCCATATGATTCGTTCAGTGATTCATTTGTTCCTAAACTGATTGGTCCGATGACCCAGTCTGCTGTGATTGGTCAACTGCATTCAACGCAAGAAAGAGAGAAATGCCCAGCACAGCTTATCAACAATTTTGAAGTAGTCAGAGTGCAGACTGTATGTGTGAGCCCAATACAGGAGTGCATTAAAGCAATACACCAGCATAGTGCTCTATTCTTAACCATGATGTCACACATTCAGTATTAATCCACACAGTGCCAAAAGCTTAACTAATTAGAAAATTGACCGCCGCACATGTGTAGGAACAGCGGGCAGTGGCTGTAACAATGACAAATGGCAGTTTGTTGGCACGCATTTAAATCCATAAACAAAGCGGCATGCATTGTGTTTTTGACGTGGCTTTAGACGCGATATAAGAACACAAAGAGTTAACCAGATATACTACAAGCGGTTACAAGTAACAAAACACAATTAAATTAATAATTTGGAAGCTAAAGAAAACAAGGAGGCAACCATTTAAAACACACTTACTTACAATTGTGAAATGGAGGAAGAAACTGATCCATCAACTGTGTACTGTAAAGTTACTGTCGAGCTTTGACCAAGTCCCATAAATCAATATTCTTTTCTGTTCTTCCTTTAACAAATGACCGACAAATCCCCTATTGTAAGCATGTAGATTATTGAAGCACACATTAGAAAAATGATGGGAACAGCACAAGGCTGGGGCTATAATGCTGAGGTATTTTTGCAAAAATAACCACTGACTCTTCACAGCCTCCGGATAGGGAAAATAACCCTAACTTTCCCTCACACTTCAGAGCAAAGCGTCTTTGGGACTTGATTAAACCGGGATCTGCTACAGTGTTTGTCATCCTCATTTTCTTTCTACGGTATTTGTGGGCGGGGCCGGAGGTTTTCATTTTACCAGGTCTGCACATGTAACAATTGGGCGGGGCTTGAGATCCGTCTAGACGTCATGCCATCACAGCTAAATAATTGCTACCACGGCGATTCATTCGAACCACTTTGAGTCAACTTTTTTAAAGATGAATCAATAGTTTTAAACACGGTGCACTTTCAGATTTAAGCCTTAGCTGGATATTTCACTTAACTTAGAGTTGTGCTACACACTGCATGGAAGGTCATTTTCAAAGATCCATAATAGGGGCTCTTTAAAGTGCTGTGGAGAAGGCCCATTGGCTGCCAAGCCAACACCAACTAATGTCCTGCACCGTGTACTTAATAACATAGAAGCAGATTGGGTGACCTACCAGCCTGCTTGTGCATCAAGTTACATAACAGAAATGTATACAGTTGAAGTCAGAATTATTAGCCCCCCTTTGATTTTTTTCTCTTTTTTAAATATTTCCCAAATGATGTTTAACAGAGCAAAGAAATTTTCACAGTTTCTGATAATATTTCTATTATTATTAATAATAATAATAATTAATAATTAATAATAAATATAATAATTAATATATTCTTCAGGAGAAAGTCTTATTTGTTTAATTTCGGCTTGAAGAAAAGTAGTTTTTTATTTTTTTAAACATCATTTTAAGGACAAAATTATTAGCCCCTTTAGGCAATTTAGTTTTTTCGATAGTCTACAGAACAAATCATTGTTACACAATAATTTGCCTATTTACCCTAACCTGCCTAGTTAACCAAATTAACCTAGTTAAGCCTTTAAATGCCACTTTAAGCTGTATAGAAGTGTCTTGAAAAATATCTAGTCAAATATTATTTACTGTCATCATGGCAACGATAAAATAAAACAGTTATTTGAGATGAGTTATTAAAACTATTATGTTTAGAAATGTGTTGAAAAAAATCTGCTCTCCGTAAAACAGACAAGGGGGAAAAATAAACAGGGGGGGGGGTGCTAATTCTGATTTCAACTGTACTGTGGAGATCATATTGGAAAAATATGAAAAATATCTAGCTTCTACATTGGATTGCCATCATGAGCTACTAGAACAAAGAATAAACACAATTGTGTGTGAAGCTTTGACTGCTTTGTATAGGCCACAGGGAGCTGTCACACGCTATTTTTGGCACATATTCAGCATTGTCCAGAATTGAGAGTAATTATGTCATGTTTTTATTTCAGAGTGAAGAGTACTCCTCTGCCAGTGAAAGTGTGCTCCACTGGACTCCAGGTACAAATGGGCGGCAAACCAAAAAGCATCACTGTAGAGACCAAACCAGGACAGACAATCTCAGACTTCAAGAAAAGTCGAACGGGATTTACCTTACTCCTGCCCCAGTAACCTTCAGGGCTTCGCAGGAAATGGTATAAAACAGTATTCACCCATTCAATAAGAGATGGGACCATGACTGCCTTAGATTTTACTTAATAATATAGGACTGGATATTTAAAAGTATTGCCATATTAAGCAATGCACTTTGTTGTTTTAATAGAGTGCTATATTTTTTTCAGTGATTGCATATTTTTGTAGGCCAACCATTTACATCAGGGGTCTCAAACTCAATTTACCTGGGGGCCGCAGGAGGCAAAGTCTGGGTGAGGCTGGGCCGCATAAGGGATTTCACAAAAAAAAAGTCCTCAAATGTCATTATTAACAGTTTTAATTATGTCTTCTGAACATGAAGTGTCCTGAACATTAATAAAACATTGAGTGAAGATTATGAACAGTTCTTCTGAACATGGCATCTTTTGCCTACTCCTTGCTGCCAAAGACTTGACAGCACTTCTTCTCACAAATCTGAAACACATTTGGCTTTAGAGCGAAAGCAGTTGAGACCCTCAGTATGGCTTGAAGATGATCATCATTAAGTCTAGACCTGTACTTTGACTTATTGAAGTTCAAGGTGGAGAATAGCTTCTCACATACTTCTCACACACTCAAAACTTCCATTCCCTCACCAGGCGTATATATGTATAAATAAAACACCCCCACCCCACTCCAGTCACATCAGTCTGTGCCAGTCTGTATCTACCTATAATATATATAAGATGCAGGCTGTAGCTAGGTAGGTGGCAGGCTGCAGATAGGTAGCTAAGTGGCAGGCAGGGGCGGGAACAGCTTACCTTGGTTCTGGCCGGGGCGCCCGTCACAGCGTCTAACAAAGGGGCGGGGTGCGTGGTGACGTAACCGGCATCCCCGCCCCTTTGTTTACACGGCAGGCGGGGAATGCCAGTGACCGCTGTGTACGGATAGAATCAGCGGAGCGAGGAGCGCTCTCTCTCCCCGCTCCGCTGATTCTGTCAGGCCCCGTTTACACTAGTGCGTTTTAAAACGGCGTTTTAGAATGAAAACAATCTGCGTCCACACTCGCGTTTTACCCAGCGTTTCTGAACTGCTCTTCGTCCACACCAAAACGCTGAAAACGCACATCACGTGACCACACACACACACTTTGGCAAGCGCTGCAGCCTGTCTACCCAGATGAGAGCTCTGCTAGTCGGACTTCTCATCAAGCATCTCCCGCTGGATCTAATCTCACTATATTTATTAAACGTGATATTTCATTCATCTTGTTGTCTTTATCTAACGACATATTCCCTGACTTTGGTCACTGGAATCTATTACTTGTTCTCAGGTAACCTGTTTTGGCTGAGCGCAAAGATAAGTTAATGATTAATGTAAGCACGTAGCCTACATTCTGTATATTGACTGATCGCTTGCCTTTATTTCCTGTAATGTATAAACTTATTGTATGTTATACTTTTATAATGGCCATTATCGATTATTAAAATTAATATTCAGCAAAAGAGAGGGTGTGTTTCGTATTTTCACTGAAATTGAAAGGAGGCAGTTGTTATCGGCTCCGTTTTGTTATAAATATCCACACAGGGAAGATGACGCTCATGCAGCACGACGCCTCAACATTTCTGCTGTCTGTTTAGTTGTTAATATTAAAATAAAAAGAGGCAGTTCCTTATATCATGTTTACATTTTATTGTTGAGAAAGTGAAACAACGTAGCCAGGGTGATGTGAATGAAGTTATAAAGTACACTGTTCCCTGTGAAGATTTACCCGTGTCCTCGGTATGTTTTTCATATCAAACTGAGAAGAAGAGATGCAGCCTTGATCAAACTTGCGAAGTCTGAACTTACACGGAGAAGATTCAGGACTGAACTGTCTGTTAGGCTACTTAATATTGAGGAAAAGCCCCAATCAGAGAGGCGAATGTCTGCAGCCCCGCCTCCGTTTTCAGATGTCTCCGTCTTTCCCCATCCACACTGAGACGGAGCAGCAGCGTTTCAGAATGAAAACGATCCGTTTTCAGCGCTCGAGAACTCCTGCGTAGTGTGGACGGATTCTGTCAGTGTACAGCGGTCGGTGCGGGCCACAAAATATTGCACTGCGGGCCGCAAATGGCCCGCGGGCCGCGAGTTTGAGACCCCTGATTTACATCATCCACATCATCATCCTCATCATCACAGTCCTGAGGAAACAAGGTTTGGACTATAGTTTTTCAGGCTTGGCAATTGAGGCAATCTGTTTTGCCAAGGTTCTCTTGGCGATATTAGTTGCAACATCAGTCTAGGCATGGGTAGAAGAGTCTGACGGTATGATAACCTTGGATAAAAAATTTTTGGTTTTATGGTATTGTGATGGCTGCTCTAAAAAAAAAAAAAAAAAATATATATATATATATATATATATATATATATATATATATATATATATATATATATTTAAATGTGTGGTTTTTAAAAAAAAAAACAAAAAAAACTTTTTCCCCTTTGAACACAATATATTTTGAAGCAGTAAACATGTCAGGCTAAAATATTAAAATAAATCTTTAACTTCTGCTGTCTTCATTAATTTTTAAAAACACTTTTTTCTTTCCAATTTAAAATGTCATCTTTGGATTTATTTTTTGCTGGAGATACTGTTGTGTTAAATAGCTTCAAACAAACTTTAAACAAACAAAAAAAAATTACATGTACCATAGAAACGGTCAACTGTTGGCTGAATATCTTAAAAACGGTTATCTTCCCATTCCTACATCAGTCGCACAGTTTGCTGCCACCAATAGTGTACTTTTGAAACCATTCACACAGAAATACACTTATTCACTATAGGCATCACATTTGAAAAATGTAAATCTGTGCAACAATTCAGATCTATGTAGCCTAAGTTCACATTACTGGTTTTGTCAATAATAGAGACCCTTCAGGTTACTTTTTGATTATTACAAAATGTGTGCTCTCTTAACAACAAATGTATTTGATTTTTACAAGTTTTGTTCATCGTGGGAATCTTCTGTAACCCTTTATTTTATGGTGTTCTTGTTACGCATGTACTTACTGTAGTAGAAACAGTACATTGTACACTATTATGCAGTGACAATTACACAGTGTCCTAACTATACGAGACACAATGCTGCGGCACATAGTAAAAGGTGTTTTTTCCATGTTAGAAGGAGTTTAATGTGTAATGGGGATGCATGAAATTGCTTTTTAGAAACGGTTTCCATTTCTGCAGTATAAACCACTATGGCAAAGATCACATCAGGAGCTGGTTGTTTGCTTTATTTACTATTTCTTTCAAATATAATTTTTTTGAACATTTTTAGTGCAAAAACATATAAAATAATTATGTTGAGTAAAAAGATAATATCTGTCATACATGTAATTTGAGTTCTGATTTGATTTTTGACCCCCACATGAAAAACAAATTATAAAAAAATAATCATGATAATAATAGTAGTAAATAAAACTTAATTGTAATTAAATAAACAAACAAATCAAATAAAATAAAATAAACATAATAATCACATAGAATACAAAATGATATCACAAAGTGGCATATTACATTTCTTTTGTCCAGGCTGAGTCTAACAGACAAAATTTTTGTCTTAGAGACTTACGTAGATGTTCCTAGATAATCAAAGAAAGGGTCCCCGGTCCGATAAAATAGGAAAGGTTTGTTCTTTATGGCTGTGGAGAAGACCTCAAGTGGGATTATGTTGCAGACTGCAAGCAGCCATTGATTTAAACTGATTTAAAATTGTACATTTCCGAGCAAAGTAAACCAACGTATGTAAAAGGTCCCTTTTCCGAAAATTATAAAGTATATCATCATTGAGACTCAGCAAGCAAGTCTTTGCTCCCAGTCAAAATGTACATTTAAAGATGGCGTTGAGCTGCAGTCTAATCAAGTCCCAGAACTGCTGTATGAGAGAACAACTCCACATACAATGATAGAAAGATCTAATGTCCGATTTAAATTTTACACACGGCTCAGACAGACCTGGATTCATATTATGTCTAACCTCAGGTGTAATAAACAATCTATGTAAAATTTTAAATACTTTCCCAAGCAGAATTTGAGGTGAACACACAAACAGGGTTGCTACAAACAGTAGATCCAGCCAGGAATCATTGTCAATTACACTACCCAAATCAGCTTCCCATTTACACATGCTTTCTTCACTGTTATTATGTTAACAGTGTGAATATCGTTTTATGTGACATTTATAGCTTTACAATAATGCAGATATGAAAGCAGAAGCAGAGTTTTCTCAGATCTTGAAAATAAAATAAAATTGCAAACATTTCATATTAACATATGGCGTAAATATGAATGTAAGATCTGCGCAAACCAACAAAAACAGTAACTCAGCATGTAGTTTAATATTGTTAAGGAGATTTAATATTTCTTAATTAGATTCTAAGTTAAGTTGGGAGTGTAGTGCACTATTCTGCTCTTCTGAACGGCTGGTATTTTTGACAATAGTGAAAAACATTAAATGAGTCAACAATGCATTTTTCTTTTAAGCAAAAGTGATTGGTGTTCCCAATTCCCTCATTCAAAACTCAATTTTTGTTTAGTAATTTAAACTACTAATTAGTTATTTGATTAATAATTTTTAAAGCATCACTTCAATGCAACTTAATGGACAACATTAGCAGTGATTTTCTCAATCTCAATCATTTTATTTTTATTTTTCAACTTCTCGTTTAAATGTTTCTGTCCTGCGACAACCAAACTGTTTGTTGCTAAAATCTTGTCTTGTGGCGTGTTGATAGGAGACAGTGTAATCCTACATTTGGTACATTTAGTACACTTTACTACTCAGTCTTTAAATGCACAGATTAACATAATGTGCAAGCAAACCTAAAAATAATTAGACAATTTTATTGTTTAAAATAAGAATTAAATCAGGCTATAAAATATAACTGCAGTGTCAACATCACCACCATTAAGCTTCCAAAAACTGTTTTATGATTGGGTTTGTAAATGTTTCTTGTAGTTCAAGAAAATGGGATATTGCATTTGAGGAAACATAATAAGCACACAAAAAAATAATAAGCACAACTTAAAATGGAATTTAAGTCTTAAATGTTAACTTGCTATGTATTTACAGGATTTGACCTACAAAAGTATGTCATCTCTGCAGCATTCTATAGTCTTCTGTTTAAAATGTAATATTATAAATGTATAATAAAATCATATATTTTTAATAAATTGGTTTAAATATAAATATTTTTATTATTATCAGTTGGAGTGAGATCAGGCAAAGACACCCTATTTCAGTGC